TGACGAGTCGACTGCGTTGCTTTCGTCAAGCCATAATCATTCCCTTGAATGATACCCAAGAGTGATACCTAACGATTCGGTGTAAATATGAATAAATGGGCATTGCTCCTAGAAGGGCTAAATTCTCTGACTTCAGTGGTCGAATTTTTTTTCTTAATTTCAGGAAAAACATTGAGCGGGAAGGAAAAAGAACTGAAACTTACATAAGATTCCTTCGATTGGGCAACTAGATTCTTAATACTTAATGACATATTTGATTCACCGAAATCAGCTACCACCGAAATCAGGATTTCTTGACAAAAGGCGTAATTTTTGTACAAAATATTATGAAAAAAGCAATAAAAACGTTTTACGTTATGTCGTCAAGTTTGACCACGCACAAAAAAAGAATACGTTTTGTAACCAATTGAAAGAAAGTTATTTCAATCTCTCATATCTTCAATTGTTCAAATATGAAATTTTTTAAAAATTAGAACGTCAGGTAAGGAAATGACAGACCATTCTACTAGCATTATAAAAATTTTGTCACTATTGCCGACGTGCTATGTTTTAACCCGAATTTAAATATTCATACTTGGTAAAGTTTTTTGGCTTATAATGGCTACTCTAAATACTATCTGTCAATATATCAACAAAAAACTTTGAATTGAACAATACTTTTGCTGTGGTTCTTAATTGAAAAGAGGTTCTCCAAATGTGTCTAACCCAACGTGTCACTTCTCAAAGTGAAATATATACGGCCAGCATCAATTTCAAAACCATCGCACCTTGGACTTTGAAAAAGATAGGTTTTTTAACGTTTAGAATAAATTCAACTGAATGTAACTTCAAATGTATTCAGTCAGTTTATATTTTGCGTCAGTTACATTTTATCACTTCAGTTTATGTCACGGCGGTCGATATATTTATCGACAGAAATGACGACAGTCGACAGAATTATTATTTTATACATTATTGCTTATTATATATATTTTTTATTTAGTGATTTCGATACTACCGTGTCAAAATCACTAAATTATTAAATTTTCACTGCTTTTTAAATATTTTATCAACTGTATTTTTTTAACAAACTTGTCGACAGAAGTGATTATCTATATATTATTATTCAATATCTTCTTACCTAGTTAGTTATTAAAATAAAAAAAGCTATTTTTTATTAATTAAATTGACATATTTTTGATTAACTGTAAAAAGAGTATTTTTAAAGGCCAAAAAAGAAGTTACGCAGTTACGAAGTTAGAAGAAGGAACGCTGAAAAATCAACAAAGGGAACGGATAAAGAAAAACATGAAATTAACTCGCTATTTAGGATGAAAGAAGATAAAAAGTCGGAGAAAGCTACAAAAAGAAAAAAATCTGCTTTATTAAAAGGGATTAAAGATCATACGAGAATAGAAAACAACCAAATTCGCAATGAAACTATTTTTTCGGATCTAAATCGCATGTACTTGTTTTTTTTTTTTTAGAAAAACCAACAATTTAGGTTCTTTATATGTCCCATAATCATGAGTCATGGGAACGTTGTTTTATTTAAAAAAAGAAATATACGCGATAATATACAAAAAAAAAAATAGTTTCACTTACAATGTGTAGCAGTCACGAAAACTTAGCAACTTCGTAAGCAAAGGCAAGAAAACCACTCAAAAACATTGTATTGAGATGAAACACGTGAAAGGAACTGAATTAAGAGTAATTAAAGAAGCACCTTTCTTGCTTTTAAAAAAAGAACAAGAAATATAACTAAGAATATCTATTTGAGAGGAAGAATCCCGACATTCGGATTGGGGAGAAATTCAATAATTTAAAAATACGACAAAATACTCAGGTAAATTATGTTAATTTCTGTCGATTTCATAGTCACTTCTGTCTAGTAGTAAAAACTAAAAAAAAGAGTTTTCTCTTAAAATTTATTCTATTAAACTCTGTCAGCATTTTTTATTACTTTAATGCATATTTCTGTATAAGTAAACCAAAACAATGGCAGAAATTATGATTATAATTTTTTATTTTGTTAAGAACGAGAAAAAGTGAAAGTGAAATTATACCTAATTAATAACTGTTACTACAATTTAAGTGAATACTTTAATGATAAAATATAATATTGTAATAAATATTAATCATTAAATTAATATATGATATATAAATCTTGAATTATGTTGTATTATATATTCATATTATTGTAATTTCATTTAATCGGTATTTTCTCAGTGACATACTTTTATTATACGTGTATTGATAGTGAACAATTGAAGTGACTAATCTAAGCCTCGGCCTGCCTCTGTTCTTGTTGTTATCCCTAAGACAGGGCTCATATGTGTAACATTATTTTAATTTAAAGGCCTTATGTATCATATGAAGACCATAAATATATTGAGTATTTTTTTATTTCGCTCGTTGGTAGAATGACCCATAAACATTTACTAATATGACTAACTACTAAACAGGATTTTAAAACTAAAATTTATTTATAAATCGACCAGAATAACACCAACAAATTTCATTTTTTTAATTTTTTTTTAAATTGATATTTAATTAATTTTTGTGAAATTACTCCACTAGTTTGTTATAATTAAATTAAATTATAATATTAAATTTCATCTTATGAGATTATTAATGAAAATCAGTTTACACTTTGGCTGTTCAGCCTTTTTTCAATCACAAAAAAGTATTTCCGTACCTCTTTTAAAAAAAAATTAGAACTGAAATCTGTAACTACAAACAATAAATTTTTGGAAACTTGCGCGACTTATATCTTTCATTACTTTTTGTACATGACGAGGTAATTCATGCAGTTTTAAAATCTTTCCTTCCGCTTTTTCTTCGCATACCTCTGTCTATCTTTTTCTTTAAACCTATCATGTATAATCGGATCGCTTTTTATCTTTGCTTTTCTAGCACGTTCCTTCATCTTCTTGATTTCCAATTATTGGTTTCTGTTTTGATATTCCGTATTCATTTTCAGTGGGAAGCAAGTAGTAATATATAATTGCGAAAATCAACAGTATTAACTAAAGGTTTTTATGAAAAAACCTATAAAATTCTTGCCTATAAAAAAGTATGGCTTCGATGGCAGGTTTTTCAGACTTCGGTGGAAGCTTTTCTGAATTC